TTATTTTCATCTCCACCGGAAATAATATTACAGTTACAAAATGAAATCTGTTGGCCCTGTCTTCTCTGCCTCTTGGCCTGCCCATCTCCACGGGCTACGTTAATAATCATTTGTGGAGTAAATTTATTCTCCACATGAATGTCAAAGCAATGTCCATGCTAAAACATATAGATTTATATGCCTATGAAACTTTATATTTAATTCGTTTCATGCACCGATTAAGAGCATACACCATTGGGCGACATACAAGAATGTTCTTTTCACACTTAAAAATGGGTAGATCATGTAGGTTTTTAAAGGATTAATTAGAAAATAACCTCAATATTTTTCTCTCGATCACGTGAATTGAAAGTGAAATTTGGAATGATTTAAAGATATGGTAACGATATCAAAAGCGTAAATTTCACACTGAGATCACATAAAACATAACTATTCATGATTTACGCCCGTGTTTCGCGTACTGGTTATGACTAATATCCAGCCAACATGCTTGAGCTCAGTTTCCCTGGTATCATTTGTCTACAGTGGCAAAGTCTAGATGAATGCTTTCCGCATGAGCATTAATAACAGCACATATACTTGTTAGGAAAAAATTGACACGTGAGAAAAAAATTAATTTTAAAGATACTTGGCATCTCTTGAGTTATTAGTCATAGCGAAATTCTTCAAAAAGTGATTGGTAATTTTCTGCCTTGAAGTTTCCGAAGAAATCTGTCTTCACTGCTTTATATGCGCTATAAGCTGCTCCTTCTACGTCACCAAAAATTTCAATAAACTTGCTTTCTCTCATGATTTGTCTAACTTGGGATCCCACAAGAATTCCTGCTTTGATACCAGCTTCGCCTATCTTCCCTGACGTAATTAGTCATTAAAACAAATTAATATGAACTAGTGACAAGAAAAAAATTCTGGATTAACCAGAAGCACACTTGTGACATTTCCTTGTCCTGGAATCAATGCTTGTCGAAGTGGCCATCGTTTCTTTGAGTAAGGACGTTCCTGAACTCGGCTGTCCCATTCATAGAATAAACGACAGTATTAAGTATAACCATTGTAAATGTAGCAGAAATGCCATCACTTTCAAGCCTCTACAGATGCGCCAGCAATATTCATCATAATGGATATGTTTCATACATTGTTGCATGATAACTCCCTAGGAATGATACGTGTACATGCTATTTCAACTGAATGATGCGTATTTCCATTATGAAACAACACAGCTTTCGCACTCAGCTTCGAGGAATCGACAAATAAACAAGCGACATTCATTTGGATCGTGCTATTGGCCAAAGGCTTCCACGAGAGAGTAAATACTATTAGACTTTTATACCATTATTATTTAAATTGCCTTCCTACGAGGTAAAATGGTCTTCTTGGCCCCTGTGAAACGAAGATATCATAGTATCTTTGTCTAGAAGACTCCAAAGTTTAAATTTAGAAGCCAAAATTTCAAAATTCTTTAAATTCAAATAATAAGCAAGATCGCTCAGATCTGTTTGAGTATTAAACGGGGCTCTGTCGATGAACAAGACGGTTCAAACAATGGATCATCATCGAATTTTCCATTAGTATACCATACGAGTATATAGTTTCGCCAATATATTTATATCACTTTTATTTTCATCGTCCAAATTCCACGTTTCCTGCAAAAGTGCCATTGCCAGATCTTCACTGTGTGAAACAGATCTTAATGGCCAGTGACAAATTTGGATATTATACTATTATATTTAGATTTGTAATAATAGAAAATATATTTATGTGCAAACAACAATGCATTAAATCTCTATATTATCGGAAGAGGGAACAACATTTTATGAGACACACTTAGCCAACCTGTCAGAAGCGTTAAACAAATATTACAGCTCATATTATGTGCATATACATTGTACTCAAACTCTACCTTACAACCAAACCGAAGTTCGTATACAACATGGATTAAATTTCCCCTGTAAGATTAAAAAGTTAATCTCTGTGCACGTCAGAAAATGCTTGGGTGGCTGACACAATTGGGCGGCGTTCTGGCGTGAAATAATTTGCACGCCTCACACGAAAAAATGAAGCATTTACAAGTTACTGTAAATTAAAAGAAACCACGAATGAATCACAAAAGGTTCAGTGATTGAAATCAAGTGAGTCACTGACAAATGAAAGTCGACATATAGGCTGTGTGACATAATTGAACACATGTGGACACGTCACGTGAACATGCAGGCAGTGACGCTCAGTACCTCACAAAGCATGTGATGAGCAAGTTGCAGGCCCCTCCTCATTCCTATTTGAATGTAAATCCTACATAATCTAAATTCTTTTCTCATTCAGAAACCGTGACTGATAGAAAAACTCTGCTCTTTTTTTCGTAATCCGCATAAAATGCAAAGAGATCACCTAAAATATATACCACATTACTCATATTATAAGATGCCTTCGAATTTAAGACGCACCCAGATTTGAATGTGGTTTTTATGGGAAAAATTAGAAAGGTGCACATTCTTCGAATTTAAAACCAAATTAATTTTTTTAAACGGGGAAAAATGTGTAAAATATGAGTCTTACATTCGAAAAGCAATTAATTGAAAGCAATTATTAGGATACAAACCTAAATGTACTGCAAAATAATTAAGCAGCGAGCTTCATTTGTAGAGAGCTTCAAGACGAACGTGTATGTATTAATTAGAAACCAACGCGTGATATCAGTAGGGGTCTGAGAGTGGCAACTTGACTCAGTTGACTCAGGACAAGCTTAAATTTTGAGTCTTTGTAATGAATCTGGTTATGCGACTATCAGCTTCTCAGGAATATCTCTACCCCTCGGAGTTAGTTATGTGGGATATTTGTGAGCTGTTAGCTTATAAATGAACAACACAAATGGTAAATTAATTATCACTGTCAATCCACAATAGCTACGTTGTGTTACACTGACACATTAAAGGGACCACTTCTTTATTCTCAGTAGGCCTATTAATATATCCGAACACTGATCTAAACTGTGCTAAAACTGGAGACTGAGCCCTTCTTTACTTTTATGATACCGAAATATGCATTAGTACCTAATTCTTAATGTACCTCAGGACGGCTAATATATAATCCCTAATTTGATACAAGTATTATCAGCATACCTGAAAGTCATGCTCGAGCAAGTTCATACCAAAAAGAATTAAACTATTTGTATATTATGCTTGATTTTTGTAAGCAGACGACTAATTTGATACATGGCCTACGGTTATATTTTATACCCCCTGCACTTGTTTTAACCACAACTTCCAGACTCTTCCGCATTAGAGTAAATAAGAATAATTCCGACGCAAGCATAAATTGTTAAATGCCCAGCATTTTCTTACAAGAGTCTGGCTCTCGAATGCATTTACATACAGTCATAATCATTTCATGTGTATCTGTGGTCCGTTTTACGAGTTAGAAAAGACAGAATTCGAAACAATATTTCTTTATCAACACTGTTCGTATATAAACAGCCTATTTAATTCACATTAAACGAAATCCCAATGTTTTATTACAAGAACGTAAAGAACCGTTCATAAGTATTATGTGGAGGTCGAAATTGTGTTTATGTTTGATAATATACTTAGCCATGAAAGTTAAATTTACGCGAAAACTACAGTATCTCGATTTTATTTCCAAGTCATTTGATTTCAGCTAAATGTGGCGGCCCTAGAATTTTAGTCTCTGGAAGATTTTGGTGTTACTACTGACGTAGGATTTAAATTCGTATACATAAAACCATTTTTAAATAGAAACTTTCCCCTTTGAAACTGACAATTAACAATTTGAATTAATTTGTAAGATTTTAAACAAAATGGTTTACTTATTTTATTGAATACCGCGTAAGACTAACGTAAGGAATTTAATTATTATTTTACAAAACAATGTATACCTACAAATACCTGCAAAATTAAAGAAATAATTTAAAAATAAATTTTGTATGCGCATATATAGCATAATTTGAATCGACTAAGTGCATGAATATTCGAACAACTTAGGTACGTATTTTCAAATTGCAGTTACAAAAATCGAGCATAACTAATTTGCAAGCGAAGTGCGGCAGTAATTTAAAAAAACAATTATATTCAGCTATGAAGCCGATTGCAATGCTTGTATTCGATATTTATAAGTGGTCTTGACTCATTTCCAGAAGCTTGAAATGATCACTGTAAGATTTTAGGATTTTACGGCGGCGATTATGAAGAATGCCGTCTTCTGGGATGTGGCGCCGTGTGGATCTTGTGAACCGACATTTTGGAGGAAAGTATCGCTTCCATCTTCAGGGTAGAAAAATCCGCGAGTGAGGAACCAGCTTGAGTAGGCGGCTGAATATTCACATCCGAGAGTGAAGGACTCGAGGTTCCCATTGAGTCTGGCACCAAAATCGGATCTACTCGGACATCTAGAGGTGCCAATATAGGCCCCGTAATGTAATAAAGTGTCATTAAATTATGTGTATACAGAACTGTCCGGCTTTGTATTATTAGAAAATAAAATCGAAATTAGATTTTATGTCGTGAAATTATGGACTCATCCCAAAATATTATTTTTATTGTTTTGTACTTAAGATGGAATACAGTTTTCTTTTGATACCTGAATATTTCTTAGTGCTGTATAAATGAAACAAAATTGTGTATTTAAGCTTTTAGAAATAAACAATATGCTACGAACAGATCAAAGCAGACATTTTTGTATTTCTCCTGAGACGGAATTGTAAATGATTGCATTACGTTCATTTTCCCCAAAACTACACACTGTAATATTATCACAGGCATGGCACAGAGATGAGTAACATTATAATGCAATCTTAAGCGAGTTAAGTTATTTACAAGTTCCAGAACTGTCGTATATTTGTCTAATTTTGAAAATAACTACACGCGCTGCCTTGTCAAAACCACTCAAATTTCGAATACGAACTTTGAAATCCTACGTGAGTAGAGTGTCTCTTGAAGTATGAAGCAAAGTCAGACTACGAAACTGTGTTGCTGTAGGTTAGTTAGTACCTTTGGCCCTTCTCCACGATTAGAATCCTCGCTGGAAGTGAATGTACTACTGGTGTCGATCCCTGAGTCCTTGGTCTGCGAGTCCTGAGAACTCTGGCGGTCGGAGGCCCATCTACCCAGCGTGTGGCTCCAGTCTTGAGGGTGTTGCTGCCGATGGCGATGGCAGTGATCCACCGGCCCAGGACGATCAAAACGCACAGTCTTCTTTCTCCGCTCCGTGAACCGACGGCTATCACTGGCACTGTTCTCTTCCCGTTCCCATAATTCCGAACCCTCTTTCACGATCCGATTACGAAACGCAAAATAACGGTCCCGATACTCGTTTAAATCGCGTGGGAATTTCTCTTGTGGTACCTCTTTACTACTAGTCCTCGCATTATCCAAAGAGGGATTTTTGCTATGATGTCTAATATTGGCAGCATTGTTGGAATATCTCGTGCCTTCGCGGTTATTGTGTGAGTAGCTACAGTGGCTGTGATCTCTGATATTGGAGGAATGGTAGTGACGATGGTAGACATGGTGTCGCGGCTGAGCAGTATCTATTTTTCCTAGTAAAGATGCAACAATGAAAAAGTAAAAGAAAATAAAGAAAGAATAAAAAACAGAGGTATAGTAATAGTAAAAATGGTTGCTTATATAACAGTAGGTAACAAATATGATAGATACCTCGGAAAGACATCCACAGCTAAACACATAGAACAAATGCAACCACAATACATAGAAGACATCATGAATAGTGATTGTTTGGTGATAATGAAGAGCTGGAATTCATATCCCATACTAAGCTAGTATTTTTCAATGTTTGCCTTTACAAATATCTGAAATGGAACAGCATGAAACAGGATACAGATTAAGAAAGGCGGTAGTATTTTTAAATAAACATTAAAGAATTTTGAGTTGTGTTATGACAGCCGTCATAATCCTCGAGATTACTGGTTTTTTGGACTTTAGAATCTAGCTGTCATAAGTTTCAATGCAATTAAAAATTTTACTGCTCCCAATAATGCTCTGTTAACACTATATTTTATTAAATATCTAAATAATAAAAACTAGTCCCCTTGGACTGCAAAGAATTGTCAGTTTTCTGTTTTGAAATATTCATTTCATCTAATATTACCTATTAATAATTACTTGCATCGTTTTATGGAATATCTACTCGTTGTGAAGTGCATTTCGGTTTGAATAAGGTGTAAAATAGGAGGGTTTATTAGGAGTATATGTGATCATATGCACGATCACTGAAGCAACGCAATGCCCAAAATATGAGTTTTCAATAGCGTAAATATTCTCTCCGAGAAATTCATAGGATGTAGCTTGCATGAACCCAATTCCTTGATTGAAATGAGCATGCCTTCTTATGAAGTCTCCAATGTACATGTTATTTTAATTTTCAGATATTTGTATAAACATTTTAATTAATACGTGTCTTAGACTGAAATCAGAACATCTCTCTATGTTGTGAATTGTCTTTATTGTAATTAATGTGCCTGTTCCATAGTGCGGTGTTATCACTGTTTACAATTTTGTTTATACTCATATTTCTTTAGAAGTATTAACTTCGGAAATTGAATTCTGGTTTCTATTTTCGCATGCATGTTTCATAACTTTATAGTATTTTTTCAAGACGTACCGTACAACAATCATCGCGTATTTTTAGAGGAACAAAATGAGTTTAATTTTGCAGCCCATTCATATGTTTGATATAAAATAAAACTGACAGTGCCAGTCAGATAGAGGAGGCACAATTTTCAAAGATTTTGTTCAAGGAGTATGGGCGGACCGTTATCCACCGGAATACCGAAGTCTTGCTTATAAACTTACTTTGAAACCGCTTTACGTTTATTTTCACTACTAGTTACAGTATTCGGGATGGAAAAACGTTTTTTAAATAATTTTAATTTCTTATATCAATATGTCTTATATTTGCTTTTTACAATTTTGATTTTTTCGAAAATTTTAGGAGGGAATAGATGCCTAGCTTGCACCTTCTGCAGGCGCCCATGATAGACATAGAAGTTATTTTAAGCTACAGCAAGGTTATACATTCTTATCTCAATCATTACAGTGCAAATTTCTACACGTCCAACTTTCGGATCCATACGGTATAATTATTAATTTACACAATTTGGAAAAGGTTTGTTTTTAGCTTTTAAATAGTGGTGTGTGTCAGTTAGTTCCATGGAACTGTTGAAATCTATTTTGTTTACATTATTACCAGTGTCTCTTTCATGAGCTATTCTACAGCCTAAACAATAAACATCATCCAATTATTCAAGTATTTTATTGCTGAAAACAATTTTCGCTCCCACAAGTTTCTTTCCTCTAAACGCGCTTCTGTCACCTAATACCGCGGCAGTTGAGAGTGGAAGGAAAAGCGTTTCATGGCCTGCTTACAACTCTAGTACCTTCTGGGTTTGTTCGAGAAGCCGCTCAGTTGATGTAGAATGCTGAAATTGCTCGAGTGCTCGCTATAATCAACTAGACGGATGACATATACAAGAGTGGTCCAAGATTAATACATAATTTATTTCTTCCTGAAGACGTGGGCACCAGTAAAATGGACAGCTGGTGGCAACACTGCATTCACTGACTGGCAGGTGACCATACGACCCATTTCTGCGAATCAGAACTAATTCAGGATGGAGTATAACCTTGCCTTACCTGGTGTAGAACATCGCTTTATCATCAAATTTCTAGTGAAAGAAAAAGTGAAACCAGCAGTAATTATTCGTATGCTAAAAGTACAATACGGGTATGACACCCTGTCAATTGCAGGTGTCTATGATTCGAACCCACCGCATGCTCAAATTCAGTCAACAACTGACAGGCGAATTACGGAGCGTCCCACGGAACCAAGAGTGGCATAAGTATTGGAAGTGTTTAAATAATTATCCATGAACAATTATTGTTCAAGAAACTGCGCTTGGTGGGTTCAATAAATGTTAAAAATCTACCATAATGGGCAGCGTGTTACTCTGTCTACCGAACTTCTGCACCCGTTTGAGTTGGAGAAAAATCCAATTCCGGAGCGAATAGTGACCTGAGACGAGACGTGGATGCAATACTTCACTCCAGAGTCAAAGCGGTCCGGCATGGAATGGCGTCACAAGGGGTCTCCACCGCCAGAAACATTCAAGATACAGCTGTCAACTGGCAACATTATGGAAAGTGTGTCTGGGGATTCAGAAGGAGAGATTCATGTCGATTTTCTTCCAAACGGTGTAACAATTCACAATATTACAGTAACTTGCTTTGCAAAAATATACAACAGGCGATTCGGATGGGAAGACCTGGGAAACTCTCAAAGATGATCATGCCGGGAAACCGGCGACTAATCGTCTGAGCTATGGCACGGCGTTTCCCCACAAATTACTGAAATATAATCAAAATCGTTAAAGATGTTTTCGAGAAAATCGCAATCTTCCTTCTTTGGATCCTTCTGAAAGGCCCTCGTTTTTCGAGCTGGAATCTTCAATTCCAGCGCTTACACCAAGTCCCCATTGAGCTGAGAACACGCTACAGTTTTCTGGCAACAAAATCTTCTTCGCGATCTGTGGCATACAGACAGGTGTCGGTTGCAAAAGGCTTCGAAAACACCAAGTGTATGGGGAGCATCATTTATATATATATATGTTGTACAAAGTAGGGGACAGGACAGAAGCTTGAGGCACCCTTGCACGCAATTCCCTTGGCGTTCCTCTAACACGTCACCATTAAATTCTGTCATAGTCTGCTGTATTACGGTTACTACTACATTGAACATTTTGTCCAGAGGAAAATTGTTTACATTAGGGTCCCGAACTGACTGATCTGTTGTCTGCTATTCGTGTTGGGGCTAGGGAGCAGGGGCCCTGGGTGGCAGAACCTACCGCTGCCACTTGATGTGTCCGAGGCTGCTGCTGTTCTTCTGTTCTGCCTCGAAGTGCCGCCGAAAAGGACACCTCTGGAGTGGTGAGGTTGGAAGAGAACGCCCGTCCCGTTGAAGTCCTGGATGTCCTCTGCGACTTCTTTTTCTGTATCTCCTATTTCGCGTGCCTGCAGACCCGATAATTGGCAGGATTGAGGTTTTCTCCTCCCGCCAACCGGCATTTGCAGCATGATGGGGTGAACGATGTGTTCCCTTTCTCGGGGCATTCTTTGTGCATATGACCGCCCCCGCACCACAAGTAGGAGGAATATTGCTTGCAGCTTACTCAGACGTGGCCGAACAGCTGGCAATTATGGCACTGCGTAAGACCATTCTGGGCTCTATATGGCTCTAACCTGATTGTGATGTGGCAGAGGCTTGTCAGTCGGAGAATTTCTTGGGGATTTTGTCGTCCTCGGCAAGGTTATTAGGAAAATTTGGAGGTTTACGGTTTTCCATCCCTTGGAAGGTGACCGACGGGTGGCTATCATCTGTTTGACGCTACTAACGTCAAAACCGAGGCTCATCAGCCGATCAGATATGTCTTCTGCAGGGGTGTTGTGTAGCAGGTGGCGTATCACAGCCTTCATGGGTTATCGGATTTTGGGTAGAACGAGTAATGGGACAAATTATTTGTATCGAAGTGGGATTTGACGGATTGGTAATCCGCCATGCCTCTCGTGATGACTCTGGTTCCGTTTCTAGTGCTACAGAACTCGACGCTTTCTTTGACTACGCTTTGCAGTTGCTTTTGCAACTGAATCACGTTAGTGGCAGACGTTAGGATTATTGGGGGTGGCCTACCTGCTTCTCCAGAAACTGCCTGCTCATTCGAAGTGACCTCGGTACCGGAAGATTCGGTGTCCATGTCCACTGTCCTGAGGGGTGGGGGGCGAAAAAGTTTCGGATGATGGCCTTCTATTGGTGGGGGGGAGGATGTTTAAAGTGGGTGACGTTTTGGTCTGCACTGCCGTTTTCTTTGATGTTCCGGCGATTTTGTCGGTGGCGCGCTGCCTCCGCCTCCATACTTCCTGGAAACTATCCTCCAGCGTTGTTTGTTGCCCTGTGGCTTTGTCCTGCTAGGGTGCTCGCCTTGAGCGTGGCCTTTAACTCGTGTAGAGTTACTGTATAAGTGCCATGCAGGGCACTAAAAAGTGGCTTTCAATGGAGAGATTTGCAGTAGCTCACCCCGTTTCCTTCAGCTGCGTTTACAATGGCACCCCATTCTGCACTTTCCCCTACCGAAACTGGTGTGTTGTCCCGCTACGTCCTCAATGTCGTCCAGCATACACGTATTAAGTAGCTGTTTTAGCTGTGCATCCGCGTCGGAATAGTGTTGCACTAATGTCTAATGTTCAGATTTCAATGTAGAACGTTTATTCGTCCAAAATATTTGGTATCGCAGCACAGGGACGTTCCCCATCTTGGATACGATACTCACTTTTCACTTTGCTCCCTCAAATTCCGAACATTTGTACACTGAGAAGGAGACGAATAGGTTTTTGGAGCCTGTAATAATAAGATGATGTTTCGTCTAACAATCGAAACTAATATTTTGTGGAGTTTTGAATAGATAATGATTCCGATCAAACGAATTGAACTGAATTGCCTATCTGCAGTTTCAAAATACAAAACCTATTT